CATCTCCATCTTTAAGAAGAACAGATGGTGTCCAGTCTTAGAAAGACTGGCTCGCCCTCACTCATCACCCAAGTTGTATTAAGAGTTGATAAATTATACCAAAAAAAAAAAAGGGCAAAGAAACATTAAAGAAGGCCCCTGATTTATGATGGTTCGACTTTTACAATGGTTCAGTTTTACAATGTTATAAAAGTGATACACATTGTTCTTTCCAGGGTTCTCCATGTGCTGTATGATACTCTCTCCTGATTCTGGCAGTGAGCCCAGCCGGGTGATCAAGAGGGTAAACAACCAGTACCTCACAGTGTCTTTGGCTATTGTATTCTTTGCACCTTTAAGGTGTGCTATGCTAAGCTATGATATTTAGTAGGTTAGGTGTATTGAATGCATTTTTTACTTACCACATTTTCAACTTACAATGGGTTTATTGGGACGTGGCCCATTATAAGTCAAGGAACATCTGTACTACATACCAGACAGGAACATCTTCAAGAATTCTTTTAGAACTTGATGTTATTTGTTTCATTTACCCACACATATCCCCAGCCAGTAACTGTTGCTTAAAGGATGTGGAATTCCCATAATAAAGGGGAGAAAAAAAAATGCTCCATCTCTGTATTTGCAAGCTCAGTTCTTTGGGAGGAAAGAAATATAGGAGAATTTTGTGTGGTGACTTTCACTTGCCCCATCAATGCTCACTCCCAGGTGGAATACTCCTCACTCCCAAATCCAAAATCAGGGTGAAAACCCCTTACAGAAGTAGGCACATAGATTCCACAGTAATTAACCTTGACAGTGGCCTTCCATGAGCTGTGGGAGATTGGCTTGAATAGTGGATCCCTTCTAAGCCCACAAGTCACACCAGTGTAGGCAAGCATTTGTCCACAGACTGGCTTCTACTTCATGGCCACAGAGACAATAAAGGTCTTCAACGCAGTGACAATTGTTTATCTGTGCATAACTCTTTAGAGAGTGCTATGACAGAACCAGAAGAAATAAAAGACTAGTCATTGTCAGAGTGAGTTTGTAGACCATAGGGGGGAAAAGGTAGATAAATTGTGACAGAACTCTACTCAGTGGCTAGCACTGGCCACTTAGTAGGGCCCCAGCAAATGTCTGTAGAGTAAATGAATAAGTGGGTCTGTTGCCTGGTGGGTAAAGCAAAGACCAGAAGGCGTGAGATGCTGCCCACCCCCGTGCTGTGGAATCAGGGAGTGGTGGGTTGGGAGGAGATGGGAAGGTGGGCTGGGGTCAACCATGAGCCACCTCTTGGAGAGAGACTGTGCCAGGGCCTAGGACTGAATGGCCAGGGGGACAGGTGTGGTGATGCAAGCTCAGGTCTGTGACTGGCCACTGGCCATGTTGGGCCATAGCACGAGTGATCAGATGAACACTGTAGTGTGCTGTTTCCGGCCCTGTGTTCCAGTCTGAAGATGCCACAGCTCTCTCCTTGGAAAGGGCAGTGGGGTGGGGGTGGGGGAGGCTCAGGTGGGCACATTTCCCTCCTATAGGAGGGAAATGCCCTGATCCAGGTAGAAGCAATGAAGAGGAAGGCTTGAATTACAGATTCCAAATTTCTCTTCTCAGAAAGTCAAGTTCAACCTGTTTGGCCCTGGCATTCTCATTGCAGGCTCATCTCATCAAGGAGAACAATGAAGGCTTCTGTGGAGGCACCATCCTGAATGAGTTCTACATCCTCACTGCTGCTCACTGTCTTGACCAAGCCAAGCTATTCAAGGTGAGGGTAGGTAAGTGGCACCACACCCCTAACCCCTGCAGGTCCCACTGTCACGGCCTAATTTTCAGAGACAATTAGAACTGATCAAATTGGTGGAAACACTAGATAAAATTACTGGAATCCAGGCTGGGGGCGTGGGGGGAGTTTCACAGATGAGGAAGAGAAGAGACAAAAGGAGAAGGAGGAGGGGGAGGGGGAGGAGAGCAATAAGGAGGAGGGGGAAGAGAGGGAGGGCAGAAGGAGGAGGAAGGGGACGGGGAGGGAGAGGAAAGCTAAAAGGAGGAGGGGGAAGAGAAGGAAGAGGGTAAGGTTGAGGGGGAGAGGAGGAGAGTATAGAAGAGGGGAAGAAAAGGAAGGAGAAGGAAGAAGAGGAGAGAAAGAAGGATGAGAAAAAGAAGAGAGAAGGGGAGGAGGAGGGTGAAGATGAGGAGAAGAGTGGAGGTAGGAGGAAAATGGGCAGGTCTAGTCAGTCTTTCTAAGCTGACAGTTCTCTATGGTCCTAACCAGCCTAGTTCTCCTTCCTCATGGTCCTCCCTGAGTCTCTTGGTGTCCATGCCCCAAGTGCTGGGTCTCCTCTCAACGACCTTTCCTCTGGGGAGGCCTCCAGAGCCCCTTCAACGATCTGCGCACCGAGTCTCTCTGCCCCTTATATTTTTGTGTGGGATTATTTCGTAATTTCTGTCCTCCCCTACCAGACTCTAGAGCTGTCCGATGAAAGCCACAAATGTGAGACACATGAATTTTAATGTGCTAGTTACATTAACTTTTCCACTATACATTTTAAAAGCTTACAGGTGAAATTAATTTCAGTAATATATCATATTTAACTCAAAACGCCCAGAATGTCTCAATAGGTAATCCATTGTAGACATATTTATGAGCTATTTTGAATATTATTCTCACTCTAAGTCTGAAATTTGACACTCACAGCACGTCTCCGTTCAGACCAGCCACACTTCAAGTGCCCAGTTGCCCGTGTGGCTGGTGGGGGCCCTCTAGACAGCGCGGATCTAGAATCTCAGGCCTTCATCTCCCTCGTGTCCCTGGCACTCAACACATCCTCGGGAAATATGGGTACACAAATGAGTGAACTGGAAGTCCCTGAAGAACGGAGCGTACATAGAAAAATGTGACTAAAAATAGTGAAATTGAAGGTCATTTTAATTCACCTCTTTATGATTTCTTATATTTTTCAAATTTCCTAGTGACTATATACCTTTTTTTTTAATTAGCAAAAATAATAATAGCTACTTTAAAAAGTAACCCACCAAGAATTCGTGGCCCAGGCTGTGCTAACATGGCCGTGCTCTCACCATTTTCCAGGCGATCGAAACACAGAGAAGGAAGACGGCAATGAGATGGTGCACGAGGTGGAGGTGATTACAAAACACAAAGAGTTTGACAATAAGACCTTTAACTGTGACATCGCTCTCCTCAAGCTGAAGACGCCCATCAAATTCCGCATGAACGTGGCCCCTGCTTGCCTGCCAGAGAAGGACTGGGCCGAGTCCACGCTCATGACTCAGAAATCGGGCATCGTGAGCGGCTTCGGGCGCATCCACGAGATGGGCCGCACGTCCGTCACCCTCAAGATGCTGGAGGTGCCCTACGTGGACAGGAACACATGCAAGCTGTCCACCGGCTTCAGCATCACCCCAAACATGTTCTGCGCCGGCTATGACTCAAAGCTCGAGGATGCCTGTCAGGGGGACAGCGGGGGTCCCCATGTCACCCGGTTCAAGGACACCTACTTTATCACGGGCATCATCAGCTGGGGAGAAGGATGTGCACGGAAAGGAAAGTTCGGGATCTACACCAAAGTCACCAACTTCCTCAAGTGGATCGAGAGGTCCATGAAAAAAACCAAGACCAGGCCCCAGGGTGAGCCGGAGGTCACTGCCACTCCCCTGTCATTAGATTAATGCCCTCCTCCCTCCTCTGTCCCCAATATTCCTGGCAGCCATTGGTGTCTCATTGTGTGTTAACACGTGCCACTCTGAACAGGCTGAATCCTGGAGTAAGTTTCCTCTCTGCTGCGATTGTGTTGGTTCCTCAGCCTGACCTTGCCCTTGCTCCAGTTGGTGGGAAATGAAACTGTCATTGGGAACACTGGGCCTGCCTTTCCCTAGCCTGGTTGGAAGCTTCCTCCTGGAAATGTTATGCTTTACAGAACAGCGGTTCACACTCTCCCGATGACACTTCCACTCAAAACCGTGGGGGGCCCTTTCCATTCATAGCACGTTTTTTCTGTTTCTGATTGTCCTAAACTACCCTCTGGGCAGGCCACACTCGGGACCCTTGAGAATAAATGACCAAGGTTCTGGGAGCAGAGACAAGGCCCAGCAAGGGTGGCCGCACCCCAGGGTCAGGGTGGGTTCTCCCCCAGGTCCAGCGTAGCCTCCCAGGCCTGTGGTTCACCTGGGACAGAGACAAGGGTGGGAGTGTGTCCCCCAGGGGCTTCCTGTGAAAGGCAGACTCCCTGGGAAGGGGAGGCCCAGAGACCTGCTCACTGGCGGGGCATTTTAACATTGACTTAACCACTGGCTCTTCTTTCTGGCTTCATGCTAGAATCACCTGGGGTACTTATATTTTGTTTTTGTGTGTGTTTTTTTTAATCCTCACCTGAGGATGTTTCTTTTTATTGATTTTTAGAGAGTGACAAAGGTGCACCTGGGGCCCTTTAAAAACGTGCCCACGCCTGGCCCACCTTGCCCTAACCTGGTGAGCACCCGATACCTAGCACACACCTCCCTCCCCAGCCTGGCTGCCAAGTTGGCAGCTGCTTCTGCTGACCTGAGGTGATTCGCGCTTCCCTGACACCGGGCATTTGTTGCAAAGAGACACAGCCCTGATGAGATCCAAGAAATGAGACTCCGAAACTCCATATTCCCTGGAGACAGTGCCTTCCAGACTTCCTTGGCCCCGAATGAGGGGAGTGGAGAGTGGGAGCCTCTGAGAGGGGCTGGATGATGAAGCGGCCGCTGATCCTGACGCTCAGGTACCATGCTACCCTCTGAACTCTCCCAGGGGATCTGTACTGAGCTGCGCAGAAGTGAGAAATGAGCTACACTGTGAGGTCTCTGACTCAGGGCTCCGTCTCCCTGCCCTCAAGACTGGCCCCCAGCAGAGCGTGTGAGGCCAAGTTGTCAAGAGAATCCCTGTGCCACCATGGCTGAGCTGAGGGGCTAAGAGGCAGGCCAAGGAGCCATCTTGGCACAGCCCTCTTGACCTTGAGCCAACTTGTCCTGTGGTCAGTCAACAGATCACTCAGGGTTCCAGCAGAGCAGTCCCCACCAGGCACGCCAGGCAGGGGCTATCCTCCCAGAAGTCTGTGTCGGGGCCTGTGCACAAGGAATCCTGTGGTGCAAAGGGACAAGACAAGCTCTGCCTCCCAGAGCCCCTGAATTTGGGGAGGAAGGTACAAGCCTGGCATGCAGGTGCAGGAGGCCCTGTGTGGGGCCCCACCTGACAGCACCTGGAGAGAGAGGCCTCTGAGCAGGACCAGGTCAGACCCAGAGACAATCAGGATACTGAGAGGGCAAGTCCTGGGTTCAAATCCCACGTGTACCACAGACACTTCACTTCTCCCTAAGCCTCCGTGTTCTCTTCAGGAGAAAAGATGAGGGAAGTGATACTTAGCGTCTATCATGATTGTAAGGATGAAATGAGAGCCACACATAAATGTCTGAAAACTATAAAGTTGCATTTATACTTTCTCAGAACAGAAAGTTCCCATGCTCAAAGCAGCCCCCTGGATACGGTTACCGACGAGGTTCCAACAGGACTTCCCCAGAGCTGCCCCGAGCGTGGTCACTGCCCTGTCCCTCACCCACAGCCAGCCCAGGCTCCAATCAGAAGGCTGTGATAAGCAGAAGGACAATCCTCCACCCTCGGAGCTGGGGTGAGTGAACCTTGCCCTGGAGGCTATCACAGTGCGACCGCAACACTGTCCTAGGCCACACCATGGCCGGCCCGCTGTGCCTCCTCCTGCTCAGTGCCTCCCTGGCCAGCCTCCTGTCACCCGGGGGAAGTGGTAAGCACCCCTCGACCTCAGGCTACAATGGTGGTCTCCTGGAGGAGGAGAAAGGGTGGGGAGCTGGGGTGATGCCCTTGAACCTCCACAGTGTAGATAGTGGGTGCCCGTCCCCTGTCAAAGGCTGACATGAGACAGCTGGGCTTGGCGGTCTCAGACAAGGTAGCTTAGGGCCAGGTGTGCCTCCCTGTGGGTGGAGAGTCAGGCAGCCGGTCAGAGGTCATAAAGACAAACAGAAACACATGGGCAGAGGAAGAGGGAGAGAGACAGAGAAACATAGACAGACAGAAAGACAGAGACAGACACACACACACACAGAGACAGAGGGAGAAAGAGGCAGAAAACAGAGAGGGGGAGATGAAGAAAGAGAGGGAGCGAATGGAGAGGTGGCAGGTAGAGACAGAGAGAAGCCGCTTTCCTCTGCCAACAGGAGCTGGGGGAGAGGAGGAGAGGGGGTCGGTCCCAGGCAGAGAAGAGTGTCCATGGCAGGGAAGAGAATGAGAGAGAAGCTGGTGTTGCCACCCTCAGGCTGGCTCAGCCAGGGGGAGGGGCTGCCCAAGGCTGGCTCAGATGGGGGTGCCTTGACCTTCCAGGGCCCCAGGGCCTGTCCAAAGAGAAAGGGCTCAGAAAGGAGAGAAGCAGAGCAAAGTCAGAAGAGAGAACAGAGGTGGCATCACCCCTGAGGTTTGTCTGCATCCTAGGCCAAGTGCAAGGACAGGAGCACTGAGGAGCGACCCAGGTGTGCAGGAGAGGAGAAAGCGGTACAAAGTCAGAAAATGAAAGAGAAAAGCAGAACAGAGAAGAGACCCATGGAGGGGAATGAGAGGGGAGAAACTGCTGTGCGGATTTTATTTCAAAGTCAGCACTTGGTATTGAAGCAGATATTCGAAGTAGTGGGGGAGAGGCCCAGAAATACTAGCGAGTTTGAGGCTGATGCTATTGGGGTAACACTGATGTCACAAAAAGAAATGAGAAATTTGGAAGGGAACGTGATTTGAGGTAGGAATGAAGCTAACCTTCATTGAGCACCTAATGTGTGCCACACTGGACACTGGGAAGTGTATACACTCTTTAAAACAACTCGAAGAAGTAAGCCTATGTCTTGTAATTTGCATTTGCCAATATTAAGTAGTAGGTGACCAAGGTGTATTGGAAACTCAGGCCTTCTAGATTCTGCAGCACTGGCTGTGTGTTTTGGTTTTGGACGTGGGAGTTTGGAGTTTGAGATGAGGGGAGATATCCACCACGATGAGAGAGTTGAAAGCATAGAGCTGGGATGAAAGTTGGGACTAGCAATACCAACGTGGAGAGTATTATGGTGAAACTCTAAACTCTTCAGTGGAAAAAGAGAGAGGAGTGCAGAGGGCGAGGAAAAGAATCTGAGGGCCTCCTGTCTCACAATGGAAAGAAGAAAGGAGTGGTGAGTGAGGGAGAGATAAGACTCAGGCAGAGAGTGGGGACAAGCCAGCTGCAGACAGAGACCACGGGGAGGACTCAGAGGCTCTCTGACCCAACACGTTTTAACTGGTCATGAGCAGGTCACGACTCATTTGTGAGTCATGAGATCAATTTAGTGGGGTTTTGCTTTTAATGAAAAATAACAGAATCAAGTAGAAAATTTTGTAATAAGTACTATTTTGTAGAAAATTATAGTAAATACTATTTCTTGAAATTTCTATTTTGTTTTTGTTATTGCTGTTATTTTTCTTTGTAATTCTCACCTGAGGATGTATTTTTAGTGATTTGAGACAGAAAGGAAGGAAACGAGAAGGGGGGGTTTGGGGGAAGAGAAAGAGAAAGAGAGAAAAATCGACGTGAGAAAGAAACGTCAATTGCTTCCCATACGTGCCCTGACTAGGGTCGGAACCCACAACCTGAGTGTGTGCCCTGACTAGGAATCTAACTGTCACCTTCTGGTGTCCCGGACGACACTCCAACCAACTGAGCCACACCAGCCGGGTTGAAACTTCTGGGGTTGTTTTGTTTTGTTGTGTTTTTTAATCATCACCTGAGGATATTTTTCCATTGGTTTTTAGAGAGAGTGGAAGAGAGAGAAATATCAATGTGAGAGAAACACATCGATTGATCACCTCCCTCACACACTCCGACCACAGCCCAGGCCAGGGAGGAGCCTGCAACCAAGCATGTGCCCCCGACCAGAATCGAACTCAGGACCCTCTGGTCCACAGTCTGATGCTCTATCCACTGAGCCAAACCAGCTAGGGCAAAACTTCTGTTTTAATTTATATTTGGAAGTCCTGGGACTTGATATAAATCAGACCTTTAATTGTAGATCGTGATCAAAACAGTTTCACAACTCCCCACTGAACTCTGACCTACATACAGGGTGGGTGAGGCTCAGGGTGAGGATGAGTGGAGGGGCACAGCCTGAGCCAAAGCACAGAGTGGAGTAGCCGGTTGCAGGGAGGGAGGTGACAGTGGCCTGGAACCACTCTGAGAAGGGAGAGTTCAGGAGAGGGGGTTTGCATTGACCACCCTAAAGCTGGGTGTGAATGTGCAGGGAGGGTGGTAGTGGATTGGATGGGATGTGTCTACTTCTCCAGAAAAGGGTGTGTGGGGTCTAGAACAGGTACTGTATGTAACTCAAGGAGGAGTCAGGAGGGAGATGGGCGTTTCTTTCCCAGCTGCCTGGTGCCTGAGGAAGGAGTTCTCAGCCTTTTGCAGCAGGGAAGTGACCTTATAATTTGATAAAGTACTTTGTGTGCTTCCCTGTCTTCCAGTGTTCATCAAACGGGAACATGCCAACAGCATCCTGGACAGGGTCCGGAGGGCAAATTCATTATTTGAAGAGATGAAGAAAGGAAACCTTGAAAGAGAGTGTTGGGAAGAGACTTGCTCCTACGAAGAGGCCCGAGAAGTCTTTGAGGACACGGAGAAGACGGTAAGGGTTGGTGAGACGGGGAGACCAGTTGTGGACGGTGCTGGGCCTGAATGGAGATGCTGTCTGGCCCCGCTAACCTGTCTATGGAGGCTGTCAGTGTCGCCCACGCTGGGCCTTCACTCCATGCCCTTCTGTGCTGTGGCCTCCGCCACAGAGAACAGCTCAGGAGAGGCTTTCTGGGGTGGGAGGTGGGGAACCTGTCTCCTTCTACCACTTGCAAGGCTTTCATTCCTGTTTCCTCACCCACCACATATCTCCTTGTTTTGTGGGTAGGAAGCTGAGAAGGTATGGCCAAAAATTGGTTATAAGAGTTATGAGAACTTCTGAAGGTATTGTTAAATCTATTCTAAAACATAACAAGTTTATTTAAAATTATTCATGCCCTTGGCCAACACCTCCCTGGACTGGGACACACACACACACACACACACACACACGGGAGCCATTGGGTTTTGCCAGATCCATGGCCACAGCCATATTTGACATCTGGCACCTGAGTTGCAGCCTTCAGAGCTATGGCGCACGGGCACACGACAGCAAAGGATTCCCTGAAAGTTGCTCATGAACCTCACCCACCTTGGGTAGAGCCCTGGGGAAACATGGCCATGATGAGGATGTGAGGTGGCAGTGAATGGCAGCGAGTGAAACTGGGAAAGAATGAACTGAAGACACTTGAAAGCTGAAGAGAAAGTAGCAGAGAAGGAGGCCAAGCAGCAGCTCCGAGAGAGACAGGTAGGCCCGGCTGCTGCCACCACCACCACACCACTGACAACTGACAGTGGACCCGCCATCCCCACTGCAGGACGGCCATCCACACTGCAGGACCCCCATCCACACTGCAGGACCCCCCATCTATAGTGCGGGACTCCATTCACACTGCAGGACTCCATCCACACTGCAGGACCCCCATCCACACTGCAGGACCCCGTCCATACTGCAGGACCCCCATTAACACTGCAAGACCACAGTTGAGCTCCCACCACATGCTGAGTCCTAAGGAGACCCGCACCACACAGGTTCAATGTAGACCCGCTCGCTTGCTGCACCTGCTGACCACCTGACCAACATCACCTTAAGGGGTAGGTAGTCTCTATGCCAGAAGAGCCTGGGGAGGTTCATTTTCTGTGCCCTTTGAGTACAGGTGAAGTTGCAAGTCATGGCCAATTCAAGGAATTTTAAGTCAGAAGAATTTCTTTTTTTTGTTTTAATTTTTTTTTTTAATATATTGATTTTTTACAGAGAAGAAGGGAGAGGGAAAGAGAGTTAGAAACATCGATGAGAGAGAAGCATCGATCAGCTGCCTCCTGCACACCCCCTACCGGGGATGTGCCCGCAACCAAGGTACATGCCCTTGACTGGAATCGAACCCGGGACCCTTCAGTCCGCAGGCTGACGCTCTATCCACTGAGCCAAACAAGTCAGGGCAGAAGAATTTCTTTATATCAATAATAGACTGCCTAGGGGAGACAATTGGAGTTTAGGAGAATTCTGGAAAAACGAATAAGGGGACCTGCGCACCCAGCTCAGGACTAAAGCAGCGAGGAAGAGGCTGCCCCCTGCCCTGCCATGGACAGCGGGGCGGGGATGGTCCTGGGATGACCACAGGGCAGGCACCTCCCACCGGTCTGGTACTCACGATGGGGTAGAGACTGCACAGCTCCCACTGACACTGACGCTGACGACTGGGTCCTCGGAGAAGCCTGCTGGAGGGTCCGCAGGAAACGGACGCCTCACTGTCCTGATTCAAACTGGGTCCGAGATGTGGAGCAGCTGCAGGGAGGATTATTCTGGTGAGGCTGATTTACTCCGATGAAAACCCTTCAAAGAAGACTGAGGACACCAACCCCAGCCCGGCAGCCGGCTCCCCGCCAGAGGCCAGCAGGCAGACTTGCACGGAGGGCAGAGGAGGAACCCGCAGAAGCCACGGGCAGCCGCCAGCATGGCTGACTCGCCCCATCGGATCGCTCACGGCCCAGCCCTTCCCCTCCACACACCGCCATCGTACGGAGGGGAGAGGGCCCGGGGCAGAGCCAGCAGAGCAGCCCCATTCGCCAGGAATGTCCGTCCCCGTCGTCGGCGGGGGCCCAGCCGGGGAGAGAGCCCGTCACCACGTGGATCTGCCAGAGGGGATGGGAGCCACCGCGAGCCAAGAACTCCTCCTCCCCCAGCACCACGCCCCGTCC